GTCGACATCCCGATCAGAGACCCCGTCATTCGAGATGATGCTGCCAAGATATGTAAAATTCTCCACCTCTTCAGCTCTTCTTCTTTTCTTCTTCTTCTACTCACTGTTTAACATTTATGGAGCCTCACTTCTTCAAAGGGATAGAAAAGTTGATAGAGAGAAGTAAGACAAATTGGACAAGATAGCAGAGAGGAGAGCCGGAAGGGGGGCGCCTGATCTGGCTTCCCACTCCTCCCCACCGGATTGGGCTGTTCGCTCTACCTCCCCACTGCCTCCCAGAAAAGGAGAGAAGAGCAGAATATTTACTTTTCTCGCGCGGTTAGCTGACTGCCTTAGCTGCTCAAGTGATAGCAGCCCTTTTTAACCATAGCCAGTGACTGGTCCTCTCAGCAGTGTTAGCTAGTTCTCTTATAGCCTGCCTGTTTTTCGCAGGTAAAATTTGTTTTGCACAAATGCATAAAAAGCAGAAATAAATGCCTGTCGTCTGATCCAAATCTCTCTAAGGAGTTTTGCTGTTGTGCTGGCAGCAAAGCCCCTGCACTCATCTTCCACCGGGCGCACATTGATCTTCTGATCTGTCCTCTGCTCAGCTGCCAAGTTTAGCTTTAACACCCCACTCACACAATGTCCATTCTAAGATTTCGAACTGCAAATTTCCAGATTGTTTTATTTGATTTCATTTATATAATGTATATAACTCACTCACTTACTGCACATAATGTCCTTTTTCTATATATTCACTCACTGTATATAATGTTCTCTCTGTTTTTGTGCACAGTCCTGGAGCATATCAGGTCACATTTCAATGTGTGTTGTACTTGTATAACTACGCATGTGACAAATAAACAATGTTGAATCTTGAATATATATATTTCGTTTTGCTACTCGGGCCCAATAATGTTCTTTGTGGGCTGCATGAACTTTTTAAAAGTCTACTCAGTGAGCATCATCTACTAAAACACTAGTGGAATGCAATAGGTAATGTGTGTGTCTGTGGCTGTGTGGCAGGCAGGATGAGGACCCAATTGCAAAAACTCACGGACTCAAGGGATAAACTCAAAATGCAGCTTTATTGCTGACAAAAGATAATAGGAAAACTAAACTGGGAAAAACTAACATAAAGTT